CGGGCCAGGATGTGCTGCAGAACGTCCAGAGAGGTGATCTGGGGGTCCACGGCGAAGGAACGGAACTCGGGCGGCTGCTGCCCCTCGCTCTTCTGCGGGGGGAGAATCGGGGGGACCCCATTAGAGAGACCGGGGAATCCTGGGGGGTCCTAATTGCTCCCAGAGAGTCCCAGTTGGTCTCAGAGGGTCCTTGAGGGGTCCCAGTTGGTTCTGGTTGGTGCCAGAAGGTCCCCAGGGGGGTCCCAGTTGGTCCCGTTTGGTCCCCATTTGGTCCCAAAGGGTCCCGGTTGGCCCCAGTTGGTCCCGGAGATCCCCAGGGGGTCCCAGAGGGTCCCCAGTTGGTCCCTGGGGGGTCCCAGTTGGTCCCGGAGGTTCCCCCAGGGGGTCCCGTTTGGTTACAGAGGGTCACTGGATGGTCCCAGTTGGTCTCAGAGGGTCCCTGGGGGGTTCCGGTTGGTCCCAGAGGGTCCCCAGGGGGTCCCAGTTGGTCCAGTTTGGTCCCCGTTTGGTCCCAAAGGGTTCCAGGTGGTCCCAAGTGGTCCCAGAGGGTCCCTGGGTTGTCCCAGAGGGTCCTGTTTGGTCCCAGAAGGTCCCCAGGGGATCCTGGAGGATCCCTGGGGGGTCCCATTTGGTCCCAGTTGATCCCAGAGGGTCCCCGAGGGGTCCCAGATGGTCCCAAAGGGTCACCAGGGAGCCCCAGTTGGTCCTGTTTGGTCCCCGTTTGGTCCCAAAGGATGCCCGGGGGGTCCCGTTTGGTTATGGAGGGTCCCTGGATAGGCCCAGTTGGTCCCAGAGGGTCCTGGTTGGTCCCAGAGGATCCCTGGGGGGTCCTGTTTGGTCCCCATTTGGTCCCAGTTGATCCCAGAGGGTCCCCAGTTGGTCCTGGAGGGTCCCCGGGGGATTCTGGGGGATCCCAGAGGGTCCCTGGGTGGTCCCAAGTGGTCCCAGAGGGTCCCCAGGGGGTCCCGTTTGGTTATGGAGGATCCCTGGATAGTCCCAGTTGGTCCTGGAGGGTCCCCGGGGGATTCTGGGGGATCCCAGAGGGTCCCTGGGTGGTCCCAAGTGGTCCCAGAGGGTCCTCAGGGGGTTCTGGGGGGTCCCAGTTGGTCCCAGAGGGTCCCAGTTGGTCCCAGAGGGTCCCCGAGAGGTCCTGGACGGTCCCTGGGGGGTCCTGTTTGGTCCCCATTTGGTCCCAGTTGGTCCCCAGGGGGTCCCGGTTGGTCCCAGTTGGTCCCAGAGGGTCCCCGGAGGTTCCCCCAGGGGGTCCCAGTGTGTCCCGTTTGGTCCCAAAGGGTCCCCAAGGGGGGTTTTGGTTGGTCCCAGAGGGTCCCCAGTTGGTCCCGGGGCTTCCTGGTTGGCCCCGGAGGCTCCCCAGGGGGTCCCCGGGGGTCCTGGAGGGTCCCTGGGGGGTCCTGTTTGGTCCCCATTTGGTCCCAGTTGATCCCAGAGGGTCCCCGGGGGTTACGGTTATGGAGGGTCCCTGGATAGCCCCAGTTGGTCTTGGAGGGTCCCTGAGTGGTCCCAAGTGGTCCCAGAGGGTCACCAGGGGGGTCCCAGTTGGTCCTGTTTGGTCCCCATTTGGTCCCAGTTGATCCCAGAAGGTCCCCAGGGGTTATGGTTATGGAGGGTCCCTGAGTGGTCCCAAGTGGTCCCAGAGGGCCCTCAGGGAGTCCCAATTGGTCCCAGTTTGGTCCCAGTTTGGTCCCAGTTGGTCCCAGTTTGCTCCCGGTTGGTCCCAGTTGCTCCCGGTTCGTCCCAGTTGGTCCCAGTTGATCCCAGTTAGTCCCAGTTGCTCCCGGTTGGTTCCCAGGGCTCCCCCATTTCCCGGAGATCCCCGGCCCCTCAGGGCAAACCAAGATGGCGGCGCTCTCCCGTCCCCATGGCAACAGCGCGCGCCCCCTCCGCTGCTGATTGGCTGCCGCACATCACGTGACCCCAAAAAAGCGGGAAACTTCCCAACTTTTTCACATCAAGTGTGGCCACGCCCCTTTCCTCGAAGCTGATTGGCTGCTGGTGGTCACATGACACACGCAGAGCCACCTCCTTAACACCTCGCAGACCCCACCACAAAGCCCCGCCCACCATGAAGCCCCGCCCACCGCGAAGCCCCGCCCCTCACCTTGACGCGCACGCGCACAACCTCGCACTCCTCCTCCAGCGAGGCCCCGCCCCCCGGCGAGGCCCCGCCCCCCGCGGTCGCCGCCGCCATGTTGGGGGGTGGGGAAGGTCTCGGCCGGGATTCGCCGCCACCGCCCCCCCCGAGCCGGGGAAGCGGGGGGACAGCTGTTAC